TAGTTTTTGCATAATCAAGCTGGAACAGAGAGAGAGGAGAGAAGAGAGAGAGAGGAAGAGAGAGAGAGAAAGGAAATTAAAAGAGTGAAAATGCAAATACGAAAAAAAAGAAAAGATTCGAAAAAAGCAAAACGAAAATTTCCTACATTTTAACTAATTTCCAATTTTTGGGCTTACTTTCACAAAGTCTCTGCCGAAAAAGATTGCATAGGAAGCAGTAAATCTCGTTAGTGACCAATGGAACGATTGGGTCATTTGAAGGCCAAATGTGAAAATGTATGCTGGATATTTCTTTAATCAATCCTCAATTTTTCCTTTATTTTGCAAATCTATTTACAAAAGTTACACCATCCAATAAATTATCAATATCATACAGTTTAGCTGAAATAGCAAAATTAATTATGTAAGAAAGATGTGAAATGAATTAGCATAATTTTACAGGTGAATAAACAACGATGATGAACAGAATGATAATTTATAGATTGAGTAAGACAAGAAAGTTAATCTTTCAATTCTTAAAAAAGTTCATTTTATTCCACAGATTTAATTCTTAACAAAAAGTTACTGAAATCATGTTGAATATATTTGTTAAGATCTGTTAAAATCACAGTATTTAATCAATTATTGATTAAAATTTTGCATTTTATGAATTTTTTTTCTTCAAGAAATAATCACGGTGATATTATGATCCATTTCTTCGGAAAATTTATCACTGCATTAAACTTGAAAAGCTGGAATTACTTATTATCATTTCAGGTGTTATCACATTTAAGATGTAAATGGGATAAAATTAAATTCGTTTTTCTTCAATTAATCTATCTGAATTTGATCTTCATTAAAAATGCAGCATTACTTTCCCAATACTTTTTTTCTGCCTAATAGTCATGTCGAAAAAATTAATAAGTTTTGACAATAGTTAGGCGTAAATTTAGCTCGCATTTTTTTAAGATGATAATTATCAACTTAATTAATATTGCTGCATATTCATAAATTTTACGGTAACTAGTCTGAGATATCGCGGGAATAGCAAGATGAGAATTATAGCATTAGTCGAATCTAATAGTAAACGAAAAAAAAAGTATGAAAAAACAAATGAATTAGCAGAAATCATAGACTGGGAAAAAAAGGACGACAACATGATGACCTCTTGTTTCCTTTAACAAACAAAAGTAAAGGACATTTTTTGAATGGAATGATATTTAAATGCATTTCTTTCCATCATTTGTAACATATATTATCTCATTTTAAAGTTATGAAATTTCATCATAATGGGAGACTGTTTTGTCACAATGGGAAAAATAATAAATTAAACTCAGATTGTTAGCCAAATTTAAAAATGAAATATACAATTCAACATCTTTACAGTGCTACCCTTTAACCTTTCTTACAAAAAGCTAATTCAAATTTGCTATTTTCTTCATAGAAAATTTATTTAAATTAACAAATAAAATAATAAAATTGCTAAAAAAAATTTTGAAATTGTGGAAATTAGCAAATTTACTTTTATGCATTGGTAGACATTTCCTAGAAAAAGGAAATTTTAGTGACAATCTTAAATGTGACTTTATTATAAAGTCATACCATTTGTTTTAATTAATCATGATCAAATGTAATCTTCAATACTTAAAGCTTACATCTGATTTATCTCCCAAAAAAAAAGAAAAAAAAAGCAAGCTGAATAACATAGAAATTAGCTTGATGTTCAAGAAAAGAATTTCAAAATAGGGAGTATTTACATAGTGCTAAATGAAAAAAGCATCAGAAAGTTATGATTGATCGCAAATGATAGATTGTTAATGTGATGGGGCGCAATGATGCAGCAGATGTTCAGATGTTCACCATTAAAAGAAATACAATTAAATAGGATACTAAACGATAAGTGCCTGTGATACATTTTGAAATGAATTACTTAAATAATATTTTTCTAAAATAAGATTGAAATACAAAACGAAATGAGACAGCTATTTATTACCTAATTAATTTTCTCTATTTATTTGTTTATTCATTTTTTTTTCTTTCATGTAATCTATTTCATTATTCAAATTTTAGAATTTATAGAGCAGTAATTTTATTCCAGATAAGTCATACAAATTGAAAATGTCATTGGTAGAAGATAAAATGGAAGTGTGAAAATTTTTAAAAAGACTTACTCGAATTTTATCATTCATTAATCATATCATGATTAAATTTTTGAATAAATTTTTCAACATCTTATATATGAACTTCATATAGTCAACATTCATTCTCCAAGTTTATTGTTTTTCAGTTCTTTCACGTAATTACGTCTTTTTTTCTTTTTTACTTATCTTTCTAATCATTTCAAATTTTCATTTCATTGGTATTTATATGAATTATTGAAATCATTGTAGTAATAGCTGACAGATCTTAGAAATGATTTGATTTGATTTGACGATAAATGTATTAATAAAAATGAATTTTAAAATCTAGTAAAAAAAGAAATGGAAATAAAGGATACCTTTAAGGTATTTCATTGTTCATCCCATTTCAAGGTCAACTAAGAGTATCGTTTTTTTGTTTTGTTTTGTTTTTTTTCTTTTTGCAGAATATTTGCTTTTTCAAATGATAGTTTGTTTGGGGAAAGGCTGGATACGAAGAATGGATGTTTCATTAAATCATTGGATAGAAATGACATTTAATTACCATGATTTATTGTTCAGTAATATTTGATCCGTATTAAAATCATTTTCGCTCTAATTTCTAGCAATCGAAATTTGTGAATCCCATTTAAAACTACGCTTAGATTATTTTAATTCCAATGAAATTGAAAAGAAAATTAAATTCAAGCAAAAGCTTTTGATAAACATTTTGATACGAATTTAATACATTCAGTATTGAATACTTTGTAAAGAAAGGCAGTCAATCAAGTCAAGAATCTTTTGTCAATACTTTAATGAAAGGTGAATAATGTTTTTGCTAACTCTTCAAAATCAAATAACTAAAACGGAGAATTAAAAAAAGCCTGCAACATCTAGGGGTAATTCCTTAAATTTTAACGATCTGAAATTCGAGATTGTGCGTTAATTACGCCAAAATTCGATTTCGAAGTCTCATTCAATAATTTTTAACAATAAGCAAATTATAAATTAACAATAAGTAATTTGAAATTATTAATTTTAACCTAGAAAAAAGTTCAGATGTTTAATTCCCAAATAATTTTAAAATTTCGAAAATACTCGAAAAGAAGTTAATGAATTTTTCAAAACAATTTTTTCGTTCCTTTTTTTTGCAATATACAAAGCAAAAAAGGCATGAAAACTTGCAAAATGATGAAAAAAGATTAGTGTGTGTCACCGATGAGTCTCCAAAATCGATTATGGCACAGATATGCTTCTCTTAGTCTTGGGCTTATTTAAAGCTATTAATCTAGCTTACTCCTATTTCCTCAATCAAT